ATTCAGGAATGGTATTAATGAAAAAAGATAATCGTAGTAAGAAGTAGGTAAAATGTTTAAAAATAGGTAATCCATTTACAACTTAGACAAAGGCAGGCTATATGATTCTCATAGTCTATGAGTCATAGGCTTGGAGTTATCCAAATTTATCGTAGAAAACTTTGACTTCGTAGACCGATTGTACAAATGTACAGCCTGTATTTATACATAGGTACATGTAAAATCGATACAGGGCTTTACGTATCGATATTTGCTGAGACCTTTGATTTAACCTTGTCGCGAAAAAATCAAAACAAAGATTCTCATTCAAGTGACAAAGTCAATATTTATTAGCTTCTACCATAAGAAAACTTAATATTTGTATTAAAACGTTAAATATGCATCTGTTCAAACTATATAAGACGGTAAAACAAGACATAAATAAACATGAGTTAATTTTACGAAAATTGCGATACAAAATGAGTTAGTTTACAGCCTTGATCGTCACTACCAATCAGCTGGATGCAATCGGTACAGAAATAGATGAAAGCTCTTGATCTTCCGAGTGATCAACCGCCTCGATCAACGCGATTTATTTACATGTACATACATCTAGTTTATATGTGTTATTTGATGGAGCAAATATAGACCTGGCACTGACACTGATAGTTTTAAATAAAACTAGTTTAACGATTATGTTTGAAAGCATGTTACCAGTCAGATCATAAGACTAACATTGACTTTCCTCTTCATCAAGAATATAAACAAAACAAATCATTAGCGCACCACACGTTTCTTTGTTACAAAGTTATTTTAAACAACAATGGCCTACAGTACAAATTAACACGATTAGTACGAGGTTAACATTAATTAAACGGAATTAATAAAAAAACAAAGTAGGTACCTAAGTAGTTAAGTTTTCGTCGAACAACAATTATTCACTTTAAGGAAAATGAGAGTCAAGTGTTGACTGAGTGGTGCGATGGTCATAAAAATACCATTCATTAATTTGTTGGTTAGAGGGTGATCGCTCAAACGTTCAAACGAACCAATCGAGTGCTAATTAAAAGGCGGACTGAAGGGTTCTTTGTGGGGTTCAGTACACTTTGAACCCGCGGTCCCGCACTGATTCACTACTTTATCGTCGGCCGCTACATTAGGATAAAAGATATTTTATGACGCCGACTGGCCTCACGGAGAGTGACGTGCCCCGCGTCCCTCTACTTACATTAAACATTTTAGGTGCCCACAACAAAAGGAATGCTCACGTATTCTTAAAAGTTCTTAAGTTTTATGGTCACCATATTAAGTTTTATGTGTTTAATTAAACGAATCAATTACCGACACATGTTATACGACTTGAGTGTCAATAAAAGAGAGTAAAACTTTGATTTCAAAGCGTCAACTTTCAAAATGACTTTAATTGTATAAATAAATGCTTACAGTTTACAAAATAAAGAGAAATTATATATTAAACATCACAACATTACTGTAGTCCTTATCAATCAAAATAATTTATAAGTTCGTAACATTTATAACCTTTTAAAACATAAAACTGTACACGGCATTTTAATCTTAATCTTTGTAATAAAAGTGGCTATTTTTCTAAATACTGAATTACAAAGAGAAACAAAAATGTGTTAGAAACGCTGACATTATTTCAGTAGGAAGATGAAGATGGACGGTGTTCATAATTTATGGTCCTATTTGTAGTAAATACAAAATGCGTCATGGCTGCTTTCGTAAACATACAGAGTATCACAACAAAGGGTTTTGTTTTAATTTAACTTCCGTATAATGAATCAAGTACTAATGTACCTATCTAGTAAACTATAATAGGCAGTGTTAATTGTATTTATGAGCATTTTATTATATTGTTACCGTTTTATGATTCGACTCAAGTTTTATTGAGTTTTGACATTTACTTTATGCTAATTATATCGTCGATTGCAAAGCTTTTACGACTGGGAAATACTAAGGAAACGGATACTTTTTCGCGGGGAAATTCCAGATGTAAAACATCTATTTTTGTTAGGTAAATATGAAGAACGAAATGAAGAAATTAACTATAAAACACATTTATTATTACACTAGATTTTTTGCGCGGCTTCGTACGCATTATTTATAAATATGAACCTTCTTCTTGAATCTATCTATTTAAAAACCGAATTAAAATCATTTGCAATAGACTAAGCACACATACTAGGGACAGACAGCGGAAAACGACTTTGTTTTTTACTATGTAATTATTATAAATCTTTCTTAAATTGAAAAACGCTCGTAGTCGACCTTTAATAAACTAGATATCCTAACAATAAAATATTATGTCATACGTGACAGCTGTTATTGATATAAGACCCTTACTACCTATAAATTAAGGTCTAAATATCCTAAGAAGAAAAACAGAATTGCTTTTTCCGTTAGAAAAAATAATAAGTTTGATTTATTGAACGGAATTGCGTACCAAACAAATAACTATGGCAACAAATATTGATGTTAGAGAAGTTCTTAGGCAAAGCAGACGATATATAAGAATTAGAGTAAATATTCGTATTTTATTTATGGCGTAAGCCAGTAAACGAGCAGACGGATCACCTGATGGTAAGCAATCGGCGTCACCCATGGACACCTGGAACACCAGGGGCGTTACAAGTGCGTTACCGGCCTTTTGGGGAATTAGGAGTTTAAAGATCGATGGGGATTCAGGAATTGGGGAGATTGGGGAAGGGGAGGGTAATTGGGCTTCCGGTAACCTCACTCACACGACGAAACACAACGCAAGCGTTGCTTCACGTCGGTTTTCTGTAAGGCCGTGGTATCACTCCGGTCGAGCCGGCCCATTCGTGCCATTATTGTATTATTAAGATGAAATATTTTTATTTATTATATTATAGCTGAAGAGGACAGTTCCGTCAAAAAGGGATCAATGATGCTAATATTGTGAACATTAAAACTCACTGATATAATTACCGCTTTCTTGCTTCGCTACGTAGTTTTTAAACTAAGAATTATATTCTACATGAAATATATAAGCATATACAAAATTTTTTATTTTTAATGGGACAAGCCCGCCCGGGAAATTCGTCCTTAGTTTTATAAACCAATATTATTGTAAAAGGTTGATAATCCGAATAAACCACATCACCTTTGGTTATTTTTAGCGTAACCAGAAATAAACTATTAATAAAACCATGGGAAATGCTGATTAGGTACTTCGTATGGTCAACATAATCCTCCAACTGCCGCCATTTTAGCCGCCAGATTGAGTGCGGCCATTGCTGCATTGCTCATAAAAATATTTTGTCCTTCGGCGTAAATGGGTTAGAAAAATATGTATGTTTTGTATATAACAGAACGAAAAGCTTTTCCAAGCGTGATTTTGTGAAGGAATATTTTATATGTTTAGATAGTATATACATTATTGTGTTCAAAAATGTGTTACAAATACTATTTACTACAAAGTACATCATAGTTACGTACTACATCTAAGTAATTGCTACAAAAAATAATAAAAAAAGAGTTTCAAGAACAAAGAGCAGGGCTGCGTGGAGTTAATTATTCTGTAGTTAATTTGAATGTCAAAAATTATGTGTTCAGTTTAAAGTGTAAAATTAAAAGCACACTTATGTAAATAATTAGGTATGTATCATTCTTGTTATCAGGAAAGAAAAATTATAAAAATCCCTTTAATAATAGTCACCTACTGAATTATGAGTAAGTCAGCAAATGGAATCAGAATTACAGTTCGAAAGTACAAAATATTAAATCCAGTCAACTTACATTCATGCGTTACACATATGGAGTGATACACGTACGTAAAGTTTCGAATTTGATTTGGTTCCTAAGGCCCTTTTTCACAGGCGGTTGCCGGGTAGCCGGTACGCGGCATCCAGCGTCGATCGAAATATTTAGTCAGATAGTACAATTATTTATTTAACTCTATTGCAGATAAATTGCAAATAGGTGGACTTAATGCCAAAGTCTCTATGATAATCAACCATGGGGTTGTTCAAAAAGATAAAGCGGTAAGCGCAAAGTAACAGAAATATACGTTAGCTTTCATTTCAGACGCACCGCTGTTCTCGCCTACATTTACCGCCGAGCAGCCGGCACCGTCTACCAAACAACTGGAGCGTGTGAAAAGGCTCTAACTATTATAGTTCACCATATTGAATAACAATAGAAATATGATAATTCTGAATCAATTGTTACTTCTTAGAACTTCAATTAACAAGAAAAAGGACACAAGCACTCTTAGATCATGAATATTTACATCGGTGACACCAATTCCCTATTAATAAATATTTTTTGTGAAAAATAATTTCGTTAGGAATACGATATCCTGTTGTTGTCCTTTCATTTCTTTAGATATTATAATGAGATGAGAGTGGCTACGTAAGTAATTGGTAATTTAAAATTTCAATGAATTTTGTTTAGATAGCTTCAGGTTTCTAATTTGTTGAAGAAACATGTCACTGTGTTATGATGGAGTTTCTCTGTCATCATCGGACACCTATTATGTATTTATATGTTAGATACTAAAACTTTTATAATGCATATAGGTACTTAAATTTTTATTACTTAGGTTCTAGAATTACTGATTTCAAATTTCACTTTAACCCACGTTCAAAATATTTCAATCAAAAATAAATCTACTACAATTTACAATGTAGACACGCTTGTGAATTTATATGACCTTAAAATGCAAAGTTAACGGTTCGAACAGAATAGCCAAAGTCTAGTCGTGAGGAAATCGTAAATAAATGTAAATATCTAATGATATGAAGATGAAGTTCTTGGTAAACATTGCAGACGGGTGCATCCTGGAAGCGACACGATTAGTATGTTCCTTCACACCTGCTGTTTACGACTCATTCATAGACTGACTACATTCAAGCAATGCTGAACCTTGTACAGGAATCCACAAATGTCGGTCAGTAAACGGACCAAGGCATAATTTTTGCCATTTAGTGTAAGTAACCAAAGTTATTTTAAGGGTAGAATACTTAATATTCACTTACAGATGTCCCAGTTCATGTGCAATTACAAAGGCGCTGGTGAGACCCTCATCCCGGTCTATAGCAGCAGATCTAGTTCTTGAACAGACTCCACCCACAGGAGCAAACCCTGAAGGTCCACCTAGCTGTGCTCGAGTCAGCCACACTGCAGCATCCCATCCAGTATTATCTGCGAATTATCAAAATAATTATAAAACATGTCGTGTTTCAATTAAAATAATCTATGCGACAAAAAATTCTCCTTGAAAGTTTTTTTAAAGCTCACTTTTTAGTATAGAGGAAAATGTTATGAAAACAGAAATTAGCACGAGCTGAGCTGGACAGACAAATATGATTACTCAAATTTATTACAGACTTGCGAATCTCAACAACATTTCTGCTTCGAAAAAAACTGTTTTGTCAGATAATAAATAATTGATGTTGCCATTGTAATAAAGTCACAACTAATAGTATTATAGTATTAAATTTGAATGTTTTATTAACTTTAAAATTGTACGCACCATTAAAGCTGTATTTTACAACACGTATGTTTGAAATATATGTACTGAAAATATATATTTCATACATTTTACGTGATGAGCACGCCCAAACGCTAAATAAATCAGTGAAGTAAAAAAGTGGGACATGTGTCATTACAGCATGATATCAGAGTCGTGATTTAGTGCTCACACCGGAAGTTGTTATATCGCTACAAGTAAAATAAATCTTAGAATAAACCGTGGCATGTGACACTCTACCTACTACTAATCCACCAGAGTTAAAATAAAGTGGCAGATTATAATTTCCACAAGACAACGCTGCTGACCACATAAAAAATAAAACTCTCACACAGCACCTGCTGGCAACTTCATCAAATGTCTGTAGTTCCATTTATTCACAGCCTCCAAAGACTTCTTCACGTTTCCATACTTTATTACATAATCTTTCTCCTCGTACAGGTACAGTTTGTTGATCACGAGCGTCATGTTAGAGTTCAGCGAGGGATCGTTGAAGATGGCACTGACCTATAATGTGTTACATAAAGATTCAATGAGTATCCATGCACCGACAACGTCGGACCAAAATAAACACTATCGCGCGTCCACTCTCTGGTGCGAAAGCTCATACTCACGATGTTCATTAACGCGAGAATGTAGTGCTTCACTCTCTCCTTGCCGTGGAACTTGAGCATCGTATGGTCGGCCACGATGGCCATTTCGAGCCACAAACCCTTGACACCTGGAACATTAACCACTATATTGTACTCGGTTGAAACTAATAAACTTGGATAAATTTAAACTTGTGATCACTGTCACCGCACCTGAAACTGGCCTACTGATAGTTCTTGGTCCACGGAAATAGTCAGTATCAGGATGAACACTGTATCTGGCTCGAACATGTGGTTCTGGCACCGGGTCGGCCTCTTCTCCGAAGTCAAGTTCAAGGTCGGTGACCGTGTCACCAGTGAGATTGTACGCGGCGGCCCATTCGGACAGTTCCACGTCACGTCTCCGCAGAACATGTGCTGATCCTTCTTTTCTTGTCGGCTGCAACACGAACTCCTCGCTGCCGACCTGCAGCAGCCCATACAGTTGACCATCACAGTCCGTCACTGTCGCGGACGACTGCTCTTCATTCAAAACTCTTCCTCTGTAGAACTTGCACTCATTGTAATAAGGAGATCGTATTTGCCTATTCTCCTGTAGCTCCAGATGCCAGCCGAGCAGCTGAAGGTGGCGGGTGGTGGTGTGTCCGACATGCCTGCGCACCCGCGGGGTGAGCACAAGGGTCGGGGCCGGCGGGGCCCAGGCGCCGGCGCCGGCCGCCGCCGCGAGGATCATGGCCGCCCACAGCCAGCGCGGCATCGTCCGCGCGCCGCCGCGAGCTCCGCCTCTCTGCCCGACGCCGCTCGACGCGCTGCGCTTACGCATCTACGCACATGGCGGGCGTCTCGTCGCGCGGAAGGTAAACGACTCCGCGACTTATAGATTGCATGTGCTTCATGCCTCATGCGTCATTTGTAAACAAAGGGCGAGCGCCTGTTTTTGTTTTATTATCGCCTAGTGTGTAACGTGTGGTTATATCTGTGAATGTGTGTTCACGTGGAACTTCCGATTATTTTCATTTCGGAATATGATGTTCGTTCTAGCTCAGAGTAGCACACGATGTATCGTTTCCGTTCGCTGTGACAGTTATTGCAAATTTTGTAGTAAATAATGATAACAACTGCGAGATAAATGTCAAGTGCATGAACTTTTGCATTACTAATTGAGTAGATAGTGCATTGGACAAACGAATAGTAATGTTGCACAAATTATTTATTTTACGATAAGTTGCGTCACCGCTACATTGGACATGGAACTTTTGTCAGTACATGTGTAGTATCAAGCTCGGGACGATGTAACGGGTCGCTTGTTGAAATATTTACTACGTTTTTGCAGACAAAATAATCAGAACTGAATCTTTGCTCATCTCTATTACATTTACTTTATGTCAGGGAATGGATCATATACATGCTTATGGTATGAAAAGAATTTGTTTAGATTGACACATGTTGTCCCAATTTGGAGTGGAATTTCACATCTATTGACTAGATTAAATACAGTGCTATATTTAAACTCATCATATCTAATTAAACCACACCACAAACCATACCATACCAAATACCATAAACCGGCAAATTAGTATTTGACTATACTTTCTTGACAGTCTTAATCTAAATGTGATATAGATTTTCAATCATAATTTCAATATTTCGAAGGAATTCCTCAACTGCATGAATTGCCGGTGAAAATATTTGAGTCACATGCCTCGACGATGCATGTTCCATACATAGTGTGCACACTGTATGCACCGTATTACGCTGTAACTACACATTCGCACAATTTAATCTGTAACTAGAAACAAAGGAATGGAATGAAATAATTAGGTATCTATGTCTAATGACGATTCAGGCGCCACTGATAGTCATTTCTGTCCTTATTAGCATTATGACTTACGAACATTCCAGTAGATCATCATGATTTGACTCAAATACATGTTCTATAGATACCTCGTTTGTTGTTAGAGACAAAATAATTAAAAATAATAGTGAGTTCATAATTAGGAAACTATAATAAATGTGTTCTTAATTAAGATTTTAATAGTGCCCTCGTTCAACAACAAATATTTTTTTTACAGCACTGCATGGAGTTAGAGCAGAAGAAACTGAATCGGTCATGAACCATATTTCTATTACTTAAGTATCATAATATCAATCTTGTCCACACGGCAGTCTCTACATTCCTATAAATTCCATCTCTGCCATCTGTATCTTCAAATATAAACACGGAAAAGTTCATCACACCAAAAAATGTTGTAGTTTTACGAAACTCCTTTTAATTATAGATGATTAATGAATTTAACGATCTCACGTCCATCCAAAAACAGTTATTTTTTCCTAATGAACCGCAACTGTCATTTGTCAAAGTCAAAGTTGTGACGTAGACGGTTGGTCCCAAACTGTCCCGAAGTGTGTAAGCAGCGTTAGATCGTGCACAATGGAGGAGCTCATCGTGTTATTGACACAGTATAATATCTTTTCGCACGCGAATTATACAATGCAGTGGTTATTTAAATAACTACGTGTGATCAAGTGTATAGGTACTTTACTACACAATTTGTTACCATCAGACGCTATTGAAGGTCGTCTATTTTTTGTAAGCTATTTGTTTTCCAAGACGTTTTGTTATTTGACTTTTTTCTTTTGTTTTTTTAATTTCGGCATTCGTTTGGTAGTCAATTGTTTTGACGACGTTTTATTTTAATGCAATTCTAACATTTCACATATTTCTGTGGCATGTGATTTATTGTCTTTGTTGAAGTCTACCGCATTTTATACTGGTATGTGCCAAAGCAATTATCCAATTAAGATAGATCACTGAGTTTACAATCACATTGTACAATAGGACGAGTTCTTCACATGCATTATCAGGGCATTATTTACCTTTTCTAACTTTGCTGCCGTCATCATCATCATCATCATCATCATCATCTCCCACATAGTCATTAAACTCTCAAATAAAGTGACCTTCTTTATACTTTGTATCTAACTGTTGGCACTATTGAACAGTTGGCTGAAATGACGTCACTGGGCGTGAACAAGCATATTTTCTCGACGGACCAGGACTAATTGGTCATTGTTAAAATTTTCCGTACCTTCATAAATACGTATAAGTAGGTACTTATGTACTCATACGGTGTAATGACATGATCCGTAGGTATTGTGACAGTAATACTTATTTATATTTTTTTGCATAATTATGGTGTTTAAAGGCTAGTATGACAGTATATTATTAAATCTATGTCTTTAATAGAAAAGAAAATGATTACGAATGTGTGTGGGTTGGATTCAAAGCCAATCTTGTTTGACTTATACTGTATCGTTGTTAATATAAAGAATATAAATTGGAATCATTATTTAATTCACAAAGTAGATCAATAAATCCTGAACAAAAAAACACAACCATATTTAAAAAAAATCAGTATAATTTCATTTAATAATCTCGTATTACACAGTTCATATGCAGTCAAAGTTAAGTTTAAACATTAACTCGATTGCGATAGTTCATACGTTGTATATTGTCTTGAAGTATAGGCTTCACCAAATCTTCTGGCATGTCCTTCTTACGGATCAGAAGGGTGTAGTTCGAAAGATTTGGTCCATCGTCATCATTTTCCCCATTCTTATATGTAAAAGTTATAACAGTTCCTTCATCACCAGGATTCCCTATTCCATGGAGGTAATATTCTCTGAAGTTGTTCGACAAATACAATCCCATGTTCCCGACACGGTACACACGATTCTTCTGGAAGCCATCTTTGTTAAATTCTGGGTAGTTCTGGAGGTCCTGCGCTAGCGAAGTGAAGTTTCCAATGGATATGGATAAACCTTTCAGATCAGGCTTATGACCTCCAAACGCCTGGAAAAAACAGAAATAGATTTACATTAAAAGATTTAATATTATGTACAATCATGTTGGATGATAGTTCAGGTCCTTTAGCCAAACGCCACTTTAGCGCTTGTCTACAGAGAGAGTAGAAATCAAAATGTATGGGGATGACACTGACAAGTGTCAAAATTTACGTCAATCCCATATAATTTGGTTTTCTATTCTACATGTAGACAAGCGCTAAATAGCATTTGGCTACAGCTGCTGGAAAACAATTATTGTTTCGTTTTGAAAGACCTAATAATATAACGTAACATAACATAACATCACGCCTTTTATCCGAGAAGGGGTAGGTAGATGTGCACATTACGGCACGTAATGCCACTGTACAATGTAACACTCACTATTCACTATGTATTTTATCAGTCCCATGTAATAGGGGTTGAGCCTATTGCCATATACCGAGCACAGTTCTAGACTCCGTTCTACTACTGATTTTTTTTTAAAACCTGGGAATCGAACCCGAGACCTCTTGCACTTGCGACCATTCTGCTACCGAGGTAGCTAAGATTTATTTCCAAGCCACATTCCTAATACTAGATGACATAAAGTGTGATGTTCAAGATAGCCTTCTGCTGTGAAAATTTACTGTGCATAAGCATCACTATCTATCCCTTCACTGTGTCGCGGAGAACCTAACGGGTAACCGGGGCTCCAGCTCGATGTGCAGGAGAAGGAATGGGGTGGTTTTTAGTCAGTAAAAGTCTGACACTCCCTCCCGCCTCACCCATGCGGGAGCAGTCATTCGATGATTTTCGCCCCTTAAAAAAACCCTTCCCTGTGTTAAACTAATACAATTTTGCATTGTTAATTCAGCAAGCTAGTTCATTACACTTGAGTTGCAAAATTGAAGTCACTGACTTCATATTTCATAATACGTGGCACGTGGCGATCAGATTTCTTACAGACGCAGATACATACAGATAATATTCACACACAAAATGTCAAAGCTATTACAATATTGAATGAAGACATACATTATTTCTTAGAAGTTTCGTATTTAAAGTGTCTTACATCAGCACTAAGAATTAATGTCGATTTTAATCTTGTGAACGGAATCGTACGTGGTTGTCTATATTTATGCCTTAATTTACATAGAGATTTCAAAATTAATGAAATAAGGAGTTAGTGTAATGGGATTTGACTACATTTGTAGTATTATACTATTATTATTATATAGTATATTATACAGTACATTATATTATTTGACTGCCGGCCGAGTGGTCGCAAGCGCGACTGCCGGCAAGGAGTCTCGGATTCGATTCCCGGGTCGGGCAAAGTATTATTTATTTATTTTCACTACCCTCCTTCCACTCCTCTCAAAGTATTAGGTATTTGGTTTTTAAAAATCTCAGTAGTAGCACGGAGTCTGGACATGTGCCGGTATATGGCAATAGGCTCACCCCCTATTACATGGGACTCATAATATAAATAGTGAATAAAAAACCGACTTCAAAAAACCAAAAACTAATAACAAACAAAAAGTCTAAACTAAAAAGCAAAAAATAACTATTATTAGTACTGATAGGTTACCCACCCACTGATAGGTAAGAAGTCGGTGCCATAAGTTCCATACAAAATTATTCATTAAAACCTTAATAGGTACCTAATTCACAATTTTGTGGACAGATATATCATTATGATATGAGCTTATGGCACCGACTTCTAACCTATCAGTGGGTGGGTAACCTATCAGTACTAATAATAGTTATTTTTTGCTTTTTAGTTTAGACTTTTTGTTTGTTATTAGTTTTTGGTTTTTTGAAGTCGGTTTTTTAAACGCAGTTTTTATTTTATTATTTTATTATTTTATTATTTTATCATTTTCAGTGTAAAGCTACATAATTATACCCGTTTTGTTACTTATAATCTACATAGGTGCAAAGTTCTAATCAATACAAATTATACAAGCCTAAACACAAGGTAGTTACAGTATACCG